GAGAGAGGGAGAGAGGGAGAGAGGGAGAGAGGGAGAGAGGGAGAGAGGGAGAGAGGGAGAGAGGGAGAGGGAGAGAGGCAGAGGCAGAGGCAGAGGCAGAGGCAGAGGCAGAGGCAGAGGCAGAGACAGAGACAGAGACAGAGATGCCGAGACAGAGACAGAATTGGGATTTTTGAAGAAGGTCGGGGGGCCTTGTCACGGGTCAGACTGAGGGCTCAGGATCTGGGGGCTTTACGGGTTTAGGGCTTGCGGGTTTAACCCGGGTTTAACCCCGGCCTTCTGGATTGCATCCTTTCCCCCTGCCTTTGCCAGCAACATAGCAGACCGCTGTTTTGCAGCAACCTGCCTTGCTTCTGCCTTAGGCTTGCGTGTACCCGTTGGGCTTGTGTCTGGAGCGTGGCTGTTTTGTCGCAGCAGCGGGTTGCTTCATCGCCGCAAGCTTTTTCATGACTTCCTCCTCCGACAGCTCGCCCGTTGAGGTAACCCACCTCATCTGATGTGCTGCCTCCATCGGAGGAGTCTTGCAGGCCTTCTCCCGTCGGTGAGGAAGGCGAGGCCAAGGAACTCCCAGCTCAAGTGGCCATGACGAGATGGGTGTTTCCGAAAATTGGGGGGGCACCCTATTTTGGGGCCCTGATAATAAGGATCCTACTACTTTTGGGTACCATATTAGGGTTCCCCATTTTCTAAATCCCCCAAACCCTAAACCCTAAATCCCCCAAACCCTAAACCCTAAACCCCCCAAACCCTCAGCCCTAACGGGCCTTGCCGGGCGTGCACGACATCGACGGGCCTCGGGCCGTTCTCGCCAGGCCAGAGGACTGGCGGATGGCATCCTCGGTGCTTTTTCTTAATTTTGGTTCGTAGTTTTAGGGTTTAGGGTTCAGGGTTTAGGGCTTAGGGTGGGAATGGAGGAAGGCTTAGGGTTCAGGGTTTAGAGTTTAGGTGGGAATGGAGGAATGGGGTACATTTCTAACTACTATTACTACCATTCTTCCATCCCCTACTAACCACAGGTAGTTTTTTGCTTTCAGAGGTCAGAGCCAGGGTTTAGGGTTTAGCAGTTCAGGTTTAGGGGTTTAGGGTTTAGGGTTTAGGGGTTTAGGCTTTAGGGTTTAGGGGTTTAGGGTTTAGCAGTTCAGGGTTTGGGGTTGATGAGCTTAGGTCGCTTAGGGCCTTTAGTTGACTTAGATAGGCATCTCAATGTAATTACAAGAATCAATGCATGTCACTGCTAATGGGATAGGGCCAGATGAGGGTTTCCGAAAATAGGGGGCCCGAATATAGCACCCTATATAAATAATAGGATCCTTATTATAATGACCCCTGAATAAGGTACCCCTCATTTCCGGAAACCCTAAACCCTAAACCCTTTATAGAACCCTTAGAGGTCCCTTTAAGGAACCCTTATAGATCCCTCTAAGGTAGCCCGAATTTTCGGAAACTCCCATATGGTTCAAGGTTTAGTGCTTCGAACCTCCAAGGACCAAGGAACTGTACTTCGTCGAAGAGGACCCAGGACTAGTCGAATCCTTCAACGAACTCTAACCCTAGATCCCTTAGTAGGAAGTATTTAAGAAGGTCTACTAGCAGGTCTGTTTATTCTTTTGGGGGAACCATGAAAAAGGACAAGGCGGCTTGGTAGAGCAGTCTTGAGGAATACGATGTTCGAGTTTACGGTAGCTATACCTGAAGCCTACTGCAACATGTTACAAAACACTAGGAGGAACTATGATATACTTTCATGCTTTCCTATATCACTGAATACCATAATATTCTATCATGTGGTATGAGATACGATCATATACTATAAAACACGATGATATACGATATCATGCACGAGAAAATGCGACTGTAGACTTTGAATCCTGCTCAGCAATGCCCCCCTCCAGGCCCTAAACCCTAAGCCCTTACTAAGCCCTAAAACCCAAACACCCTAAACCCTTTCTTGGACCCTTAGAGATCCCTTTAAGGAGCCCCTTTCGATCCCTCTAAGGTCGCCCGAATTTTCGGGAACTCCCATATGGTTCTAAAACCCAAACCGCAGCTCGACCCAAGAAGCCCACAAGACAGAGCCAAGCACCCTTGTCCTTTTAGAAATAATAGACAGAGCCCTATACCTATATCCCTTAGTAGGAATTATTTAAGAAGGTCTACTAGCCGGTCTGTTTATTCTTTTGGGGGAACCATGAAAAAGGACAAGGCTGGAGCCAAGGAGCAGCGTAAAGCTGATGTGCCTGGGATCAGTGGAAGGGGTTAATCTCTGGTGTTGGGTTCAAGGATTTTACGTTTTTAGGGTTTAGGGGGTTAGGGGCTTAAGGTTTAGGGTCTCGGGTTTTCGGTTTATGGTTCAAGGTTTAGGCCTTTGGGTTTAGGCTTTAAGGTTCAGGGGTTCAGAGTGTTGCGTTGGTTATGTGATGTGGGGCTTCGGTAGGAGACGTTTTGTGGACGATTTCGTCAGACTTTGCACAACACCTCTAGGCGTTTAGGGTATAGGGTTTGGCTTTGCGGGTGTTTCATCAGGTCTCTTGGGTTAAAGGTGGCCCCACAACCCTAAACTCTGAATCGACACACACGCACGCTCACAGAGAGAGACATCCAGGCAAGCTTTTCAAGGCAAGGACCGCCCTATGGCCTGCGCCTAAACTCCACGGTTTAGGGTTTAGAGTTTAGGGTTTAGGGTGTAGGGGTTTAGGGGTTTAGGGTTTAGGGGTTTAGGGGTTTAGGGTTTAGGGTTTGCCCAACAACGTCAACGGAACTCGAAACAGCCAGAACTCCGAGCCGTGAACGACAGTCCTGGCCCTAAAACCGAGAATAACGACAATCCGTGTAAACCAAACCCAAAGACAACATCCCGATAGAGGTTCGAGATCATTCTAAATATCAGCCGACATGTAGCAGAAAGAGACACACTTAGAATCTGCTTCTAACGAAGTTTGCGGGCTTCCGGAGTGCAGTGTTCATGGTGAGAACCGAAACCCTGAGACTGAGACCCATCTGAGATTACAGAAAACCGGCGCACAAAAAGGTTTAGGGTTTAGGGTTTAGGGTTAAGTTTAGGAAATGTTACTGTGAGGACCGCCGAACCCAACACCCCAACACCCAAAGTTCATTCCTCACGGTTCCCTATTATTTTCAAAATTTTCCTAATTTACTGCACCTCAGAACCCTAAGCCCTGAACTCTAAACTCTACTCACAAGGTCGGTGGAATAAATTTGTTGCAAGCTGCACGGGCCAGCGGTACGCTGAAGTAGTCTTGCGCCCCGGTGTCTCGCGCAAGGAACCTTTGGTAAGGGCTGCAGGCGTCCTCCCTCACGGTTTGAGTTTAGGGTTTAGAAGGGTTTAGGGTTTAGGGTTTAGGGTTTGAGGTTTAGGGTTTAGGTTTTATTTAGGCTTAGGGTTAAGGGCTTCGGTGTCAGATTTGGGAGTTTCCGAAAATAGGGGACCCTCATATGGTACCCTAAATAGTCGGATCCTTATTATAAGGACCCCCAAATAGGGCACCCCTAATTTTCGGAAACTCCCATTTTGCGGAGCTTCCAGGTTAAGGCTGAATGGTTTATCAAAGGGGAAAAGGAAGGACCCTTAATGGGGACCCCTACCCTATACTGGGCTACATAATGGGTATACAATAGCTACATTAAGGGTATATACCTAAGGGTCCTTTTTCAGGGTCCCTGCTTTTCCTTTTGGAGCTTATGAGTCTATAGGAGACTCTTTTCTTCCAGAAGCGTCTCTCCTGGGGCCTGCATTTAAATGATGGGATTTTGAAAACGGTTGGGGTTGAAGAGAACATAGCTTTGGGAGCAACCGATAGACAGCCCCACAGCGTCCTCTTATGATAGTTTAGGGTTTAGGGTTTAGGGGTTTAGGAATTTGGGGTTTAGGGGCTTAGGGTTTAGGGTTGAGGGTTTAGGGTTTGCATGGTGGTCCAAATCTCAGATTTGTGTCAGTGCACTAAATACGCACGTTGAACACCCAGACCCGAAAACCTGAAACTCCGAAAGCCCAACAGCCACAAATAATCCTAAACTCTGAGCCCGAAAAGCCAGAGATTCTAAACCCCGACATCCAACAACTCTATGTCCCTATGTGTCTCCTGCCCGCGCAAGCACCAGAAGGCCGGTGCCAAGAAGCATGTAGTAGGGGATGATGCCCAATTGCACCTCCCGCTTCCTTCATGGCTGCTGATTGTACCGCGGAACCCAGGGAAGAACAGGGTTCGCTCTTGTTCAGGCCCCTCTACGGCCTAGAAGCCATTGCCAAACTTCCCCTAGGGCTCCAGCTACCTAAATAGTAGGTTACTGGGGCCATGGTATATGGTTATATGGGTGGTTGTCCAAATTATGGTCCCTTTTTTGGGTCCTTATTATATTACGGCACCTAATATTTAGGGTACCCAAAGAGGGACCCCAATTTTGACAGCCACCCATATAGCAACCCACTATTTAGGTTACTGGAGCCCGAGGGTTACATACGCCTTGTGCAGGATTTGGTCCATCAATCGGGGACAAATCTTTACGGGCCCTCCCTGAACTCTAAAACCCTAAACCCTAAGACCCTTTAAGCTCCAAGACAGCCCCGTAATGGGGGGGGTTAAGGGTTTAAGGTGTACCCTTTTGCTGAAATAAGGAAACTCCTAACTAAACAGGGCAAGAGGGTACACCTGAGTGACTTAGTTCTTGCCGGGAGTAGTGCACGTAAAGCTGAAACTTCAAGGCCGGCGTCTCTGAAACCTTGGACATGACTGTTAAGGGTTTAGGGCTTAGGGTTTGGGGTTTAGGGTTTAAGGTTTAGGGTTTGGGGTTTAGGGTTTGGGGTTTAGGGTTTGGGGTTTAGGGTTTAAGGTTTAGGGTTTGGGGTTCAGGGGCTAGGGTTTGGGGTTTTTCGTTCCCCTTCCAGAGCGAGGGGAGAAAGTCTCAGGAAGTCTCGTCAAAAAGTTCGGAGACGAAAGTGCTCACATTGACCGTCGTGTCATCATGAGTCATCATCGTCAGCATCACCATTGGCATCACGGATTCCCACTATCATCGTTATCCGAATGTAGTAGCCGTTATTCTTCGCGCAGGAAGGAGGAGGAGCGAGCAGCAGGAGGAGGAGGAGGAGCAGCAGACGCAGCAGTCATACGCGTGATACGGACAGCACAGGAAGACGCATCGCAGGTATAACAGTAACGGAGAGAGAGATAGGGAGGGATAGAAAGAGACAGAGAGAGACAGACAGACAGACAGACAGACAGACAGACAGACAGAGAGAGCGTCATGACAAACCATAACAATCAAAACCTTCTACAGTGATGGGAAGTAGCACCTACAACTCTCTAGCCTAAGCCCTAAACACGAGGAACCGTCACTACAGCAATCACAAAACAACTCTACAGGGTAAAGCTGCTGCTCTCGAGACAAAAAAAGGGTTGAGCAGTCGGAACTTCAGTCTTGAAGCTAAAGTAGGGGCCTTAATAGTTAACTATACTATTGCGGGGCTTCCTTGCCACATTTATAGCATAATGGATCCCAACATCCTAGTCTAATTAAGGCCCCTACATTAGCGAACCTTAGGCAGCCGAGTATGCAGGGTGTTCGAGAATTCGAACACGGGTTTAGAGTTTACGGTTTAGGGTCTTGAGTTTAGGCTAGTGAGATTTTCAATAAGGAACCACCAGAATAGGGAAACAGTCTTCTGATTGTTCAGGCCCCTATATTAGGCTTGAGGGATTTATGCTTCGGATTTCGGCTACAGGGTTGTAAGGTAAGGGTGGTTTAGGGTTTAGGGTAAACCTGTGTAACAAGCCGAGACTCCATTTCCTGGCCCAGACGTCGGCATCATCGTTGATGCCCTTCCTTACATGAGGACGAGGCAGCTCCAGGTGGCATGTTCTGTGCATTTTTTACGGTTACAGCTTAAGGGTGTCGGTGCTTTAGGGTAATCTCTAAACCCTACGTAGGGCGTAAACTGCAATCAAGGAGCCAACCTAAGCGGTTTAGGGTAGGTTTAGGGTTAGCTGGATCGAGGTCTGAAACTGCCGCCTTGTCCTCCGTTCCCCTTAAGGGGTACGGGCTCCAACATCACCCGCTGTGATGTGTATAGCCAAATTCAACACCACCGGCTCGTCGCTATTGACTAGCGGAAATGCATGCATCGCATGCCCGAGTATGCAACAGCAACAGTAGTTCCAGCTACTACTAGGGAACATAATGACCTCGGTCACGACGTCCTGTAACTTTACTTTAAAGCCGCAAAAATTTTGCCCTATGCCCCACACTACGCTGTAAGGCCCGAAAGGCTAATGTAGGGGCCTGAATAAATAGAATAGGGTTTTGAGGCCCATTATACTATCCGTACAAGAAGGAACCCCCAAAATAGTATAGGAAATTATTTGGGCGTTCATAGTAAATCCTTACAGTAGCCCTTACAGACCCCTTTCAAGGAACCCCCACAAGAGTATAGGTAATTATTTAGGCCCCAAACCCTAAACCCTAAACCCTAAGCCCCTAAACCCTAAACCCTAAACCCTAAGCCCCTAAACCCTAAACCCTGAACCCCTAAACCCTAAACCCCTAAACCCTAAACCTCGAACCCTGAACCCTAAACCCTAAACCCCTAACCCCTAAACCCCACCACGGCCGGGCCACATGATCGGCGACTGCGATCGGATCGTGGCCCCTGCGAGGGGAAAAAAAAAAACAAGTTCCTTAAAAAGGGGTCCTTTAAGGGATTCACTTAAAAGGGGTCCTTTAAAGGGATCTATAGGGTAGGGGTTCCTTTAAAGGGATCCTTAAAGGGATCTATAAGGGGTTTAGGAAGTTCCTTAAAAGGGGTCCTCTAAAGGGATCTATAGGAGTTCGTCTTTTGGGATCCTTAAGGGGTTTAGGAAGTTCCTTACAAGGGGTCCTTTAAAGGGATCTATAGGGGTTCCTTTAAAGGGATCCTTAAAGGGTCTTAGGGTTTAGGGCTTATAGGGCCTGCAGGGTTTGTTTAGGGGTTTAGGAATTTGGGGGTTTAGGAGCTTAGGGGTTCAAGGGTTTAGGGGCTTGGGGGTTTAAGGGTTTAGGGTTTGGGGGGTTTAATACGGTTTAGGGTTTAGGGTTGAGGGTTTAAGGATTTAGGGTTGAGGGGTTCAGGGTTTGCAGTAGAAGCCCAAAAGCTGGAAACCCAATAGCCTCGATCCTTGAGATTACTATCTAGGGAATCCCAGCACTATTTGGCCCTCAATCCGGTTTCCAACCTTATGGGGTTTACTATACTTTGGGTCCTGTGGGTCGGTGTAGGGTTCCCCACTTAGGATACTTTGGGTTCTGTGGTTAGGTGCAAGGTTCCTATCAGGGAGCTAGGAAAGTTTACGATTTTGGACTTGTGGGTTTTAGGCTGCAGGGTTTGGGGTTGGGCCTGGGGCGCGGAAGTTACAGGGCCACAGAGACCCAAAATTCTTACCTGAGATAGCCTAACATCCAAACCCTAGACCCTAAACCGCTAAGCCCTAAACCCCTAAACCCTACGCCGCTAAACCCTAAACCCCTCAACACGCTAAACCGTGGAGGCCCAGGAAGCAAACAGGGGGGCCTTGGTCCTACCTGCCCCAAACCCTCCTGCGACCAGATGTCTCCTTCATGCCAAAGAAAGAACAACAATATGAGTATTCCTCAAATCACATGGGTAGTTGTAAAAAATGTTGGTCCCTTTTTGGGTACCCCAAATAATAGGGGCCGTATTATAATAAGGACACAAAAACGGACCAGAATATTGCCAACCAACCCTTTGTGGGATCCTACTATAGTTTAAGGTATAACCTTGAATAAATTAAGGTATATCCTACTATAATTTAGCGTGACTAAGGGCTAGTGGAGTCTCCGGGCCTGTAGTCTAGGAACCCGACCAGGAAACTTTGGGTCTCTCTTAAGGCTATTTATGGATCCTACATTTTTTAGAGAGAAAGGCCCAACACACGTTTAAACAAAAATTATCCTATTTTTTTGGGGGTTAGGGTTTAGGGTTTAGGCGTTATAGGGCCAGGATGTCTTAATAGTCGAGTTCCTACAGTATCAGACTCCATAAATCGCTTAGGGCTGAGGTCTTAGACAGTTTGCGGGGTTTGGGGGCTTAGGGCCTAGGGAATTTATAGACCTCTATACAACCAAGTTAAACACACTTAGCCCTAAACCCCAGACCCTAAACCCCAGACCCTAAACCCCAAGACCCTAAACCCCCAGACCCTAAACCCCAAGACCCTAAACCCCAAGACCCTAAACCCCAAGACCCTAAACCCCCAGACCCTAAACCCCAAGACCCTAAACCCCAAGACCCTAAACCCCAAGACCCTAAACCCCAAGACCCTAAACCCCAAGACCCTAAACCCCAAGACCCTAAACCCCTAGAGCCCGAACCTCCCCAGCGATGGTGCCTGCAGCCTGCAGCGCTCTCACAGCCTTCTCGGCGTGCGGGGTGCTGAGCTCCACGTCGTGGCTGATGTGAGCCTCTGGCATAGTAGAGGTTTCTGGGCCGAGGATGGTTGGTCTACAGGGGTTTAGGGTTTATGGGTTTAGGGTCATAGGGTTTAGGGTTTAAGAGTTTAGGGGGTTTGGGGTTGAAGGGTTTAGGGTTTAGGGCTTAGGGCTTATATACCCTACTTGTCGGGTATCATGGGGAACTAAAAGGTTAACCTTTTTGGTTATACAGGGATTATAGAGGGACTATACTACCCAAAAAAGGTTGAAGGTTACCTACTCTACTACTTTGGGGGGATTATGAGGGCTTATAGCGGTGCATTCGATTAATGATTAGGAGTGCCTTTCTGGTCTTCCGGAGGGCTTTCTTGAGGTTTAGGGCTTGAGAGAACCATGGGCTTAGGATTTAGGTGTAGGATTCGGGTATGTCGGTTTAGGGCTTAGGGTCTAGGGATATGGGACGACCAACCCTCACGACAACCATCAGCCAAGGATGTAGACCTGCAAAGCAGCTGCCGTGATCGCTTAGCCTGGGTTCTTTTCTCCATGGACCACGCCCTAAACCCTAAACCCTAAACCCTAAACCCTAAACCCTAAACCCTAAACCCTAAACCCTAAACCCTAAACCCTAAACCCTAAACCCTAAACCCTAAACCCTAAACAACTCCACGACCTCTGCGAGCCATCAATAAGTTTGATACCCCGCTGATCCCCAAAATCACTTCATCGTGCCACCCTGAAAGTTGAAGCGAAACCCTGGTCCTGAAAACCGAAGCCCCAAAAGAAAAAAGCGCACTGCAACAGCTGGAGAGGACCGCCGGATGACCTTGTACCTAATGAGCCGCCCGAATTCTTGTAACTGTAGGGAGCCCCTAAAACCTGAATTCAGAAAGACACCTTAGGATTTAGGGTTTTGGGGTTTAGGGGCTTAGGGGTTTAGTGGTTTAGGGGTTTGGGGGTCTAGGGTTTAGGGTTAAGGGTTGAACTAGAAGGGTCTGAAAAGTTGAGGGTCTTGGGCTCTCTGGGCAAGCTTTACTCCAACCTCCAAGCCCCTACTGTAAACCCTGTACCCTGAACCCCTAAGCCCGAAACCCATACCCTAAACCATACACCCTACAGTTACACCGTCACACCCCTAAAACCCTAAACCCTGAAACGCCAGACCCGACACCCCAACGCCGAGGGGCCATGATGTCAACAGATCGTCCACCGACTTCCACCCTTTGCGAGGGCACCCGAGCGGTTGGCTTCTCAAGATAAGGGCTTCGGGCTAGAGTAGGGTCCTATATTAGGGGCCTTAATACTTAGAAGGAAGTTCCGTATAAGGGGTCCGTTAAAGGGATCGATAGGGTTTCCTTTAAAGGGATCCAAAAGGGGTCTTAGGGTTTAGGGCTTATAGGGTTTATGGGGTGTAGGGGTTTAGAGTTTAGGGTGTGGGGGTATGGGGGTTTAGACTTTAAGGGTTTAGGGTTTAGGGTCAACCCCAGCCACGACATTGCACCCTCGGGCAAGATTCTGGTTTCGGTTGTCTACACGAGTGTCCCGTACAAATATGGCACCTCTCGTACCTCGAACCCCTGAAGCCTAAACCCAAAGCTCTCACTTCCCCAACCCCATACATCTCAAAACTTAACTCCTAACCCATACCCCCGCCGTAAAACCTGAAATCGTAACTCCTCAACCCTAAACTTCAACTCCTAAACTTCCTAAACCCTCAAACGCCAAATGCCCTAAACTTCAACTCCTAAACCCTAAATCCCCAAACACCCAAATCTTCAACTCGCTAAACCCTAAACCCGAAACCCCAAACCCTAATCATAATCCCCAAACCCCTAGACCCGAAACCCTAAACCCTCAACCCGACACCCTAAACCCTAAACCCTAAACACGAAACCCCATACCCTCAACCCTAAACCCGAAACCCTAAACCCTAAAACCTTAACCCTCAACCCGACACCCTAAACCCTATACCCTAAACCCTAAACCCGAAACCCTAAACCCTAAAACCCTAATCTACTATTTGCTTAAGAACCCCCAAAAAATAAAAAATATATCCCTTATGGGGGGTAATATAGGGATTATTATTTTTATTTTTTGGGGTGGGTTCTTAAGCAAATAGTAGTAATCATAACCCCTAAACCCCATACCCTAAACCCGAAACCCTAAACCCTCAACCCGACACCCTAAACCCCATACCCTAAACCCTAAACCCGAAACCCTAAACCCTAAAACCCTAATCATAACCCCTAAACCCCTAAACCTCAAAAATGGCCCTAACCGGTCCCGGCTGCAGCTGCTGCAGGAAGTCCAGCAGCTCATGCGCATCCTGATCGCTGGTGAAGCCTTCAGGGTTTAGGATTTAGGGTTTAGGGTTTAGGGTTTAGGGTTTAGGGTTTAGGGTTCGACGCATAGGGTTTTATGGTGAACCCCGGAAAGCTGGAACATAGATTTAGGATGGTTCATGCTGGGATTCCCTGTACTTTACTTTGGGGGTATGGGGCGAATGATGTTCCAACTTTTGGCTTCTACTGTAGAGCCTCCATAAGGGCCGACTCTATGGGGGCTTCATACTTAGCGGAACGGTTGATGAGAAAAATCCTGCATGCACCTTCATGACCCTAGACTATGGGAATTATGGCATGTTCCTTGCTATGGGTAATGCAGGATTGATATCATCAGCCGAAGGACTGGGGTTTAGGGTTTTGGGGTTTGGGCTTTCGGCTCGATTTTTTACGACTTGGGGTGGAAATCCTCAAAAGTTGGAAACCGGATTAAGGACAAATTAGTGCTGGGATTCCCTCTTCAACATTGCTACGGACTGAGGCTGTTGGGTTTCCATTTTTTGGGCTTCTACTGTATTGCTTAGGGGCTTGGGGTGGTTTTGGTGGCTATAGGGCTTTTAGGGCTTATGGGGCTTTTAGGGTTTAGGGCTTAAGCTTAGCAACTGCTCTCGGATAAAGAGTTTTTGTTAAACTTGGTACACTTCTCGATTCGGATAAAGAGATTAGGGGGGTTTATGGGTGTTGGTTCGGGCCCAGGGTTCAATAGGGTTTAGGGTGTTAGGATGTTGGACTTCGCTTCGTTTAGGACTTGGGTTTTTAAGGTTTGGGTGTCGGAATGCTTTGGGGCACCGTTGGTTAGGGCTCCGTATCATCGTAAAGTATACAATACTCCGATACCCTTTTCTAATCTTTCGCGCCCCTGTCTTACACTCTTTGGTTAGAGGTTGTTGAGGAGGTGGCTCAAGAAATCACAAGGCCAGTGGTGAATGTGGGAAGACAGGTGCGTTGGGTTTCCGGTTTGGGGTTAGGGTGAGGGGTTACTTGGAGGCCCTTTTGACTTAGTAAGTAGGGTTAGTAAGGTAAGTTATGGGGATTATAATAGGGTTTCTAGGGGATACTAAGTAGACTTACTAAGTCAAAAGGGCCTCCAAGTAAGTGTTGAGGAAGCTACTTCTCTCAAAAGACTGACTTTGAAGTTGGCAAACGCCAAAGATTGGAGCCCGCGGCAACCTGAGGACCAGGTTTTTAAGGTCGGGCAGTTCCCACCCCAAGCTTCCCACCTCAAGATTGCAAACCCAAATGGCTTAAACACCTTCAAATCAGCCAGCGCAACACCCACAGAAGGATACAGACACCCATGGACCTGTAGAGCCCACTGCAGCCTTCGTAGAAACCGTTTGAAGCCACGATCGAAAAACCACTAAACCCAACCCCTACCCCCCAACCCACATTTTTCTGGAGATGTCTTGAGCCCAGGGGCGCTGTGGCCAGAAGGTCAGCGTCCGGGTTCCAAATCGAAGGTTTTCTGAGCTGTCGAGTTCAGAAACCAAAAGTTTTGTTTTGCTTTTAAGTCTAAACTTTCTTCAGGGGAGCTGTTTTATACACAGAAGTAGTTCTAGCTTTCCGTGCTAAGAAGAGCTTTGCATTGTCCCACACATGTGGTTGTCAAAATTAGGGTCCCTTTTTGGGTACCCTAAATAATAGGTGTCGTACTATAATAGGGACCCAAAAAGGGACCCTAATTTTGACAACTACCCACATGAGCTTGAAGGCTTCGGGATTGTTCACTCAGCTGCCAAGTTTCGGATGTGCGGCAGGAAGGACGGGTCCACGAACTTCCCCAAGTACCTCGGAAAAAGGCGTGAGGTTACTTGGAGGGTCGGGGGACTTAGTAACTGGTTATTTTAGGGACTTATAAGTACCATAACCCCAATTAGGGTCCGTTTTAGGGTACTTATAAGTCTACGTACTACCTACTTACTAAGTCCCCCGACCCTCCAAGTAGGCTTCGGGATTTAGGTTTCAGCATTGGAGGGTTAGGGTTTAGGGCGTGAGAAGCGAGTATGAACGCTTTTTCAAAATTCGACATCTACCCCCCACGATGGCAAAGTCTTCTTCCTAAGCGCGAAATCCAAACTCCACATCCAACACCCAACCCTTTTATTCCCAAATCTTGAGCCCTCCTAAGCTGTAGGGCCCTACACCCTCAACTACCCCTTTTCAGGATCCCAAAACAAATGCCCTACTCCCAGTTCCCAAGCAGCCCTGCAAGCAAGCGCAAGTGAGTCCTTCGTCCTTTTGGTCCGTTTTGAAGCGGAACCCCGAAGCAAAAACTGAAGAATTAACCCTAAACCCCTAAACCCCTAAACCCTAAACCCCCAAACCCCAAACCCCAAGCCCTAAACCCTAACCCTAAACCGTGTGGAACCGAGACCCAGGCCCTCCTATCTGGGTCTCTGGACCCTTTTACCCTAATACCCTCAACTCCTGCAGCCCCAATCCACTACCGGTAGCCTTGTACAAACAGGAACCGCGCAGACACCCTAAACCTGAACCCTGAACCCTCAACCCTCCACCCTAAACCCTAAACCTGAACCCTAAACCCTAAACCCTAAACCCTGAACCCTCACCCCTACCCTACACGCCAAAAACCGAAACCCCAAACCTAAACCTGGAGCCCAGGGCGCGACTTCAGGAGACCCACCCGCATGATGAAAGGATCCCCACCGGTGATGAGGACGTCGCTGAGCTCCTGGGGTAATTGGGGATTGAGGTTTGGGGCTTGAGGTTCCCTTAAAGGGGTCCTTAAGGGATCTATAAGGGTTCTTTAAAGGGTCTAGGGTTTAGGGGTTTAGCGGGTTTGGGGGTTTAGAGTCTAGGGTCTAGGGGCTTAGGGTCCAGAGCTTAGAGCGTTTCGGGGTTAGGGTTGAGGGTTTAGAATGTCCAGAGACTTCGAAAACTCCCTTGAATGAGGGTTTCTACAGGAATTGATCAGTGTTGTGTTGGATTAATTGTGGTGTTCATAAGAAATTTGTCTGAAATGTTAAGGATCCTTGTGATGAAACGTAAGGTACCCTAAACCCTAAACCCCTAAACCTTAAACACCCTGCCCTTAACCTTAAAAACCCTCACCCCGAAACCCTAAACACCTAAACCATAAACCTCCCTGAACCCTGAACCCTACTTGTCGGGTATCATGGGGAACTAAAGGTTAACCTTTTTGGTTATATAAGGGTTATAAAGGGACTATACTACCCAAAAAAGGTTAAAGGTTACCTACTCTACTACTAGGGAACCCTAGTAAGACTTTGGGAGTTTCCGGGAGGCAGGCAGTCTCAAACTCCCGGTGTCGACATCTCGAGATGTTTTTATGAGGTTGGGCTTTGGCGGTTAGGCTTTCGGGTTTAGGCTTCGGGTCCACGGTGGGTCTAAGATTTGCCAGGGTTTTGGGGTGTTGCGGTCGTCTACAGCGATTTCACTGGCGTCAAGCATTTTTCGGAGATTCTTGGACGATTAAAGCCTTAGTGGTCTCGCTGCTTCAGGCCTCTAAAGCTTTGAGGTTTAGGGCTTAGGGTTCAGGGACTTTGGGGTTTAGGGTTTAGGGACTAGCAGCAAGAGCGCATCGGCGCTAGTAGAAGGCTCCGACATGGGCAACAGAACCAAAGCGACACCAATCTCTACCGTATTCCTACGATTGCGAACATTAATCAATATCCAAGCCCTAAACCCTAGAGCCTAAACCGAAAGCCTAAAGCCTAAACCTTAATACCATCAACATGGGATCCATGAGACAAGAAAAGCTGGAACCCACTGCGATCAGTTGCAGACTAAGCGCATTAAGAGACGGAAAATCCCCGGAAACCCGAAGCCCAAACCGTCCTCAAACCCTGAAGCCGCAAAACCTGAAAGGTTAAGGGTTTAGGGCTTAGGGTTGAGTGCTTAGGGTCCAGGGTTTAGGGTTTAGAGTGTACCCCAACCTCTAGTCATGCTCAGGTATGGAGCGCTTGGAAGTTCATGGCTACTTGTAAGTAGAGATATTAGTAAGGTAACTATACTTATAACCCATATTAGGGGACTCATAACCCCACTTATAACTACCCCTAAAAGTTCAAGCAGTGCAGTTTAGGCGCAGGGTGCTCCCCCAGATATCTCAGGAAGGCTACAGAGTCCTGCGCACGGGACAGAGCCGAATGGGGCTTCCGGGCTTAGTAGCTTCGGGTTTCAGGACTTAGGGCTTCGGGGCGTTCAGCTTTAGGGTTGTGGGCTCAGGGGCTTCGGCATTTTGGGTTTTGGGTGTTCGGCTTCAGAGGCTTTGGACTAGGAGTCCCAGGCGGCTCTTCAGTGTGCTCTTCTAACGGCCTTAGGGTTTAGGGTTTAGGGTTTAGGGTTTTGGGTTTAGGGTTTAGGGTTTAGGGTTTAGGGTGTTGTTTCTAAACATCTCTGGCCATCACACTCGTGCATTTTGCTTTTGGTCGGCAGGCAGTGTGCAAGTTACCGTGTTCAGACAAACAAAAAACGAAGAGTATAATATGCTCACAATCTAGTCACAATTTATTCAGAAACTGATCGCATTGATCACGATGCTCATCTTGATGATGGTGATGGTCAGCATCGACACCGTGGCCATGCTTCATGATGATAATGGTGACGATGATGATGATGATGGTGATGGAAAACTCATCAGGGCAAGAGATACATAAATGCTAGCTGCTAGCTCCGGCCGAATCCAACGATGCAAGGACGGTTCTTCCCCAAGCCCCCACCCAGCTGCTTGAACTAAAACTCCTGGTCAAAGCACAGAAACCTGAACACTACTTCATTCCCAACCCAATTTGACATGCTGCCGTACCCCTGCACAGATGCAAATCCCTTGGGACTAGTCAACAAGAGCCCTAAACCCTTAACCCTACACCTTTGAAGCCCCTTCCACTGTTAAACTGTCACCCTTAAGACCCGAAACCTAACCTACAATTCCAAAACCCAAACATCCAGGCCTAAACCCTAAACCCATACCTTGCGCGGCCTTGACCCCTAACATAACTGCATACCGCTAAGTCCCTCACGTGTTCAGAGCCCTTGCAGGAACCCTAAGCAAAACAACACCTAAAGCCCTGAAAGGCAACCCGTAGCACCAAACGAAGTGCACCCTGAGCCCTAAACTCGGGTTTAGGGTTTAGGGCTTAGGGTTAAGGGTTTAGGGTTTAGGGTTTAGGGTTTAGGGTTTAGCAAACCCTCCTTCTGCGCCAATCGAACATCGTCATCTCCGATGAACTGCGCCCAACGGAAGCCTGTTGCTTCGTTCTTGTACCCAATATCCCTCAATTAAGGAATATACCCCTAAGGGTTCCTTTAAAGGGATCCTTAAAGGGAGCTATAGGGTTGAGGGTTTAGGGGATTCGAACATCCCTTAATTAAGGAATATACCGTAAATTATAGTAGGATCCTTAATATGATTTAAGGTATATTCCTTAATTAAAGGATATTGGAGGCTCTGGGTAGGGCTCAGGCTATGAGGTACACGGCCCTAGCCCTATTTCAGGGTTCCTTTGATCTTGCAGGGCTTTGTCTTGCTTGTCCAAAAGGGTTGATAGAGCCTTATAGATTAGAAGGGGCCCTCACCCTGTTATAATGGGAATAGAATAGGGCCCTAATATAATCCTTATAGTCACTATCACAGGGTGGGGGCCATGGATTTTCGGATCTGAGCCTCGTAGGGTTTCATAGGATTCAGATTGCTTTTGAGACCTCAAGAATCGGTCGAGCCCTTCGAGGTGCACAGGTATAGGAACAGTATCTTGGACTTTACGGACCTGCTTAGAGTTTAGTGCAGGGGCCTTGAAAATAAGAACAAAGAGTTGAGCTCCTTTAGCGTATGGAATACGATTGGGTACTAACTGATCCTTAATAGTTAGAATAGGGTTCCCTTTAAAGGGGTCTATATAGGGGCTACTATACAGGGTCCATAATAGGGTTCTTCACAACAGAGCCTTGTGGGGTTGAGGAGCCTTCATTAACTAGGTTCCTGAGTGGCCCCATGACAATAAGGCTACCCTTTTTCCTACTTTTCGCTTTTAATAAAGGTACCCCGACAACCTGAGCCCTAAAACCCTAAACCCTAAACCGCTAAACCCCTAAAACCCCTGCAGACTTGACTCACCGACGCATCTCCCCTCACTAGAAGCTCAGGGCCTCATACCCACTGCTCTCGCTACCAGCTCCGTGGATGATATAAACCCTGGGGTTCCTTTAATATTATCTAGAAGGGTACCGTTTAAGGGGTTCCTTTAAGAGATCCATAGGGGTTTTAGGGTTTAGGGTTTAGGGATATAAATCCTGTAATGCCCATAAAAAGGAATATACCATAATTCCCATAGTTTAGCGTCCCTAAGGTAATGCAAGATTTATATCATCAACAGCTCCCTGTTGCTGAGCTCCCGGCAGTAAGTGCAGTAGGCATGGCACGTCTGGCCAGCGCTGGGGAAAAGCAGACAAGTCTCTGCATACCTGGATGGCAACAACAAGATGCTGCCAAGACAACAGCACCCCAAAATGCTACAGTATAGCGAAAACGGTCAGGATAAGCGAAGAGCAAGTTGTAGCACGACAACATCTTAAAACCCAAACAACTCACAGCCCCGAACCTCCATTCTGGCATCTGGCGCTCAAAACTCTGTCAACGATTCGTATTTCGCCCTTAGACCGTTTAGAGCACCACCAACAGATTACCAGGAGCCCACCAGGAGACCACCACAACACAACGGCCAACATGCTTGCCCCCCTTTGTACTCTAGGATACCCAGTAACCTAAGAAAAAAAGGCCTCTCTTTTTGGTATTGGGTAACTTTTTAAGGAACCTAGGACTACAAAAAGGGAATAAGGGTACTACTGGGCATCCTAGTACTGGCGGAACTCAGAAACACCTCACCACGTAGTTGGCTGAACCTTCCGCGTGCTCCTCGGGATACGCCCACGCAACAATGTACTGGCGTGATATGCGTGCAGAGTGGCTGGCAGAACCTTCCGCGTGCGCCTCGCTCGAACACTAACCAGTCCTCTTTACTCCTCATGCAAAAAACCCGATGGTACGTACCACACCGCTTGGGAAACAAATAACGACAGAGTCTGGTAAATACCAAAATAGAACTGATTGATCACATCAAAACAAATAACCCTAAACCCCGCTAAAATGACTCTAAACCCTAAACCTGCTGAGACCCAAGACACCTAAACCCCGGAACCCGCAAAAAAAATAGCCCTGCACCCTAAACCCTAAACCCTAAAACCTAAACCCTAAACCCTAAACCCTAAACAAGAAGAACAAGAAAGGCCCGGCGGCTTGTGTTGGATCCCCTGGAGGGCAGCACTTTTCGGCCGATTCAGCGTCAGTTGCCCGGCGGGCTGCGGGTTCCTTTGAGGCTTGGTTTAGGGTTTAAGGCTTAGGGCTTTTGTTTGGGGAGGTTTCGGGTTTAGGGGTTTAAGCCTTAAGGCTTTTGTTTGGGGGGTTTAGGGCTTAAGGCTTAAATCTTTGGAGAGGTTTAGGGTTTAAGCAGTTTAAGGCTTAGGGCTTTTGTTTGGGGGGGTTCTAGGGTGTAGGGTTTTGGGGTTTGGGGTTTAAGGCTTAGGGCCTTTGCTTGGGGGGGGGTTTAGGGTTTAGGGTGTACGGCTTGGTTTAGGGTTTTAGGGTTTAGGGCTTAAGGCTTTTGGCTTTTGTTTGGGGGGGTTTAGGGTTTTAGGATTTAGGGCTTTTAGGACTTTAAAGGGAGTTGGGGGGCGGGGGAGCGGGGGGCGGGGGGGGAATGGGAGTGTTTTCAGGGTTCCGTTGAGGGGTTGAGGGTTGCTAAAGCGGTTCTTGTGAGGTTTCCTGTCGGGGTCAGGAGTTTAAGGCTTCAGGGCTTGAGTTTGGGTTTAAGTGGTCCTTGTTATCAGGATTCTCAAGGATTCGACAGCGCGTGATAGAGTCTTCCCAGAGACTCCAACATCCCTTAATTAAGGAATATACCGTAAATCATATGGGAGTTTCCGAAATGGGGAGCCTAATATAGTACCCTAAATACTAGGATCTTATTATAAGGACCCCAAAACAAGGTACCCCTGATTTTCGGAAACTCCCACATTAGAGATCCTACTACGGTTCATGCACGCGTTCCGCACGGGTCACAAACCACGGAGCCCAGTGACAGCAAATCAGGGAGCTGCCTCTGCAGGGCATACACCTTTTAAGGTTTAGGTTTTAGGGTTTAGGGGTTTAGGGTTTAGGGTTTAAGGGGATTCAAAGTATGGTTTTAGCAGGGCGACACACAACCCCAAGAGACTGCTTGCAGGAGTTTAGGGCTTTTTGGGGTTTAGGGTTTAGTTTAGGGTTTAGGGTTTAAGGTTTTTGGGTAAAGGGTATAGCTGAAAAGTCGTGTTGAAACCGAACAACTTTCAAGCCGAAAGCCCGCACAGCCGTGCACATCCTATGAAGGCCCGACATGACCGTACAAGGCATAAATCCCGCATCCCTCACCCCAACCTTGAGAATCCTAAAACTCCCAAAACGAACCCTGAATAAAGAAACCCTAAACCCTACAAGCCCAAAGCCCGAGAGATCCCTTATAGATCCCTTTAAGGGAACCTCTATATCCCTTAAAGGATTTAAAAGGAGCCCCTAAGAAGAAAGACCCACCTATATATCCCTTTCAACGACCCCCTCTATATCCCTTTAAAAGAACGCCCCTACACAGATCCCCTTAAGAGGAGCCCCTAAGAAGAAAGACCCTCCTACATATCCCTTTGAAAGAACGCCCCTATATATATCCCTTGAAAAGAACCCCTACATATCCCTTTAAAAGAACCCCTATATAGTCCCTTTAAAAAACCCCTATAGATCCCCTTTAAAGGAGCCCCTACAGCCCTATAGATCCCTTTAAAGGAGCCCCTATAGCCCTGTAGATCCCTTTAAAGGAGCCCCTGACAAGAAAGACTCCCTTCCTGGCCGAAGTGGCACCCTAAACCCTAAACCCCAAACCCGAAACCCTGAACCCTTAAAGGGAGCCCCTAAGAAGAAAGACTCCCCTTCCTGGCCGAAGCTTCAAGTCGCTACGGATGGCTTTCACCGCCGCTTCCAGCGCAAAAGGATCCTCCAAGGGAGCCCAGGGACTCCCATACGGTTTAATCGGATCTATAAGGGTACCTTGAAGGGGCTCCTTTAAGGGATCTATAGGGCTCATACAGGGTTGAAGGTTTAGGGTTTAGGGTTGATGATATAAATCCTGCAAAACCCTAAGGACTCTAGACTATGGGAGTTATGGTGTGTTCCCTACTATGGGTAATGCAAGATTTATATCATCAACAGTATCCCTTAGTAATGAATACCTAGGGATCTGGAGTTCCTTTAAAGGGATCCTTAAAGGGACCTATGGGGTTGAGGGCTTAGGGGATTCGAATATGCCTTCATTAAGGAATATTCCTTAAATCATATCAGGGATCCTATTGTGATTTAAGGAATATCCCTCAACTAAGGGATATTCCCTAGGGTTCCTTTAAAGGGATCCTTGAAGGAAGCTGTAGGGTTGAGGGTTTAGGGGATTCGAATATCCCTTAATTAAGGAATATACCTTAAATCATACCAGGGATCCTATTACGATTTTCCCTGTATATCCCTTCATTAAGGGATATTGGAGTCTCTGGGAGGGGTCCGCCAGGGCGGTCTTCTAATCTAGGGGCCTCAATAGTTATAGGGTCCCTTTAAAGGGGTCTGTGTAAGGGTTACTATAAGGGATCTACAAGGGTACGTTAATATAGGAGCCTTAATATTTGAATAGGGTATCGGGGCTATCATTACAATAAGGAACCCCCAAAATAGTGTTGGTAGGTATTTAGCCCCTAAAGTATTCAAAGTTTCTTGGTCAGGGTTGCTTTACTGAGGTCTCACAGATGACCCTGTCCTCTGAAGCCCTCGCATCCAGAAGCCTCAGCCGATGTCTTAGCGCTTTTTCGCGTTTTAGGGAGGTTCCTTAAAGGGATCTATGAGGGTTCCTTTAACGGGATCTATAGGGGTTCCTTCAAGGGGATCCATAAGGGATCTATATAACATAGGGCTTTCGGGGTTTGAGGGCTCAAGGGCTTAGGGTTCAGGGTTTAGGGTTCAGAAGTTTTGGGTTTGGGGGTTGCGGGGTTTAAAGCTTAGTTTAGGGGCTCAGGGGTCTGGGCATTTGGGTTCGGGGTTTAGGGCCTAGAGGTTTAGGGGTTTAGGGTTTTACGCTAGGGTTTAGGGGTTCAATGTTTCATGTTTTTGAGGGTTCGTGCAAGAGAAGCTATCTGGGAAGTGCACAAAGACCCGTTGTGCCGGGGCTTCAAGGTAAGGCTTCTTCAACACCCGTAACGTAAAATCCGACAAACCCTAGACATCACTAAACCTGGGCATTGGAACATGCCGCCGAAAAGGCCACAGGGCGCCTCAAAATTCAACATGATTATGCAATACTCCCCATAACATAAACCCTGATAGCAGGATCCTACACCCCTAAGCCTAAACCCGCAACCCTAGATCCTACACCCCAAAGCCTACAACCCAAACCCTACATCCTGAACCCCAAATCCTGAAACAGAAACCAAATCCTAAACCAGAAACCCCAAACCCTGAACGCGAAACCCCAAATCCTAAGCCAATTCCAAACCAGACACCCCAAATCTTAAACCCCAATCATTCAGCCATAGAAACCCTAAATCCTAAACCCCCGAGCCCCAAACCCTAAATCCCAACAAGCCCCAAGCACTACTGGAGACAAGCCTTTCGGGACTTGAAGAGAAGCTAGGCTCATGGCTTTATGGCTTGAGGGTTTAGGGTTTAAAGGGTTTAGGGCTTTGGGGGGGGGCGTTTTTTGCCAATGTGCAAGGGCCTAGATTTAGGGTTTAGAGTCTTAAGGCTCCCTAAACGTGTTTCTTCAAGGGCTCCTTGTGAGGCCTTATTCAAAGGTTTTCGGGTGCAAGGCTTGGGGTCTACGTAGGTTCGGATGAAGACTGTTGGTGTGTTGGCTGGCAGGTTTCGCGGGGGTATTGATCTGTTTGTTCTGGTATTCCGGCCGGTCGTGGCTATGAGAATTACCATCAAAATCTTAGAAACGACCAGCAACAGTATTCTCCAGCTTATACCTTCAATGATGACCAGCCATCTTGCTACATGCGGCTACCCTCAACCCCACTTTGAGTTCAGCGTCGACACTGCACCCTGATGATCCAACCCTATACGCCATCAACCCCTAAACCCGAAACCCTAAACCCCTAAATCCATAAACCCTAAACCCTAAATCCGAAACCCTAAACCCCTGAACCCCTAAACCCATAAACCCCTAAACCCCTGAACCCCTAAACCCCTGAACCCCTAAAGCCCTAAACCCCTAACCGTAGAGCTCCAAGCTTAGGGACACAGGAAGAGACCCTTGGAGCCGGCTGTGAATGAAGGCAAAAACCCTGAAATCATCCCCAATCAAAGGGGAAAAGGAGGGACCCTTAATGGGGACCCCTACCCTATAATGGGCTATATAGTGGGTATATAATAGCTATATTCAGGGTGTATACCTAGGGGTCCTGATTACGGGACCCTCCTTTTACCCTCGGACCCAAATCCGTCTAGAAGTTGAGGCCTACAACTTAGAAGGGGCCCCCCCACCCTGTAATGGTGGGATAATAGGAATATAATGGGGTCCTAAAATTATCCTTATAGTCACGATTAAGGGTGAAGGCAGCTTCTAATCTATAATATACCCTAAGGCTCCTAAGAGGGTCTTGGGCTTTCTGGGGGGGCTAGGGTTCGGGACCTCACTACAAGGGTCCAGGAGCCTTAAGGTAGGATTAGACTAGGGTTTTGGGGATATCTTATATACTGCAATTATCACAAGGAAACCCCGACAATAATGTAGGGTACTCGTTCAGGCCCGTATATTACTCCAGCGGTTCTGAGTCTCTGCTGTCAAGATCCTTCTAGACCTTGAATCCCAAACCCTAAAACCCTAAATCCCTAAAACCCTAGACCCTAAACTCCTAAGCCCCTAACATCCTCAACCCTAAACCTTAAATCCCTAAAACCCTAAACCCTAAATCCCTTAAACCCTAAATCCCTAAATCCCTAAAACCCTTAATCCCTAAATCCCTAAAACCCTAAAATCCTAAATCCCTAGCTTAAGGGGGCCGGAGTCTCTGGGGAGAGCCGGGAGGCTGCTGCTGATGCCGCCGGGACAGCATCTGGAGCGTCGGAAAGAGGAGCCTCCGAGGCAGCCAGGCGTTTCGGAGCTAGGGTTTGGTGTTTTTAAAGTTTAGGGTTTAGGGTTTAGGGTTTAGGGTTTAGGGTTTAGGGTTGAGGGTTTTTTTTTTTAAGGGTTTAGGGTTTAGGGTTTAGGGTTTAGGGTTCGGTGTTTTTTAAGTTAGGTTGATGGCCTTCTTTGTTCGCTTGCCCGAGTCGGCTCCTAACCAGGTTTGGGGCATAGGGTACAGGGTGTAGGGTTTAGGGGAGCCTCCGAAGCAGCAAGTAAAGTCCACTTCATGTAGAGGCCTAATCATTAGAATAGGGTTTCGAGGTGCATTATAGTATACTTATGATGATGGCGATGACGATGACGATGACGATGATGATGATGATGATGATGACGATGCAGAAGCAACACAAGTAGACACGAGCAGACGGAGGATGAAGAAAAGGAGAAATGCCAGAAGCCACAACTCGAAGCAAGCACTGGCGATTCTTTGCCCGTCTTCGGACGAGCCCACAGTCCACTTTGAACCCCAAACAGTAACTCGGGTAACGTCCTAAGCAAAACACTCTGAATACCCCACCCAAAACTCTGAAACAGCCCAAACAGTAACCGTATGGCCCCTTTTGGCACCCTTCTAGTTCCCTAAGCCTTGAACCATAAATGCAAAACCCCCCTCAACCCTCAAGCCCTACACCCTAAACCCTAAACCTCTAAACCCTCAAACCTGAACCCTGAAACCCTAAACCCCTAAACCCTCAAACCTGTACATCGGATCTTGGTCCAAGTCTTCCGGGTCCCAGTTGATAAGGTGCTCCATGACATAAGAAGAGCCTGGGCTAACGGCTTCGGGTTTAGGGTTTACGATTTAGGGTGTAGGGTTTAGGGCTTACGGGTGCTCCATGACTCCATGACATACAAAGAGCTTTGCTGCTTTAGGGTTTTGGGTTTGGGGTTTAGGTTTGGGGCTGTTGGGTTTGTAAGGCTTAATAAATTGTACCTCTCTAGCTTGTAGGGGTTGCTAGAGGCTTTGGGTCTGACGGCTTAAGAATCTAAACTGTTGGGGCATTACACTCAACAAAAAGCCCTAACCCCAAGCCCTTAACCCTAAATCCTAAACCTTAAAAACCCAGAACCCGCTGTGGGGGCCCAGAAGCAGCGAAAGGGAAAAACCAGCGCGGCCAGCTGTATGTCCTGTGCTCAAGTGTTGGGAGTTCAGGACTGCAATATGTAAGTCAGAACTCAAAGTATAAGTACTGAGGATAACTATGATCCTGCATGTATTAAATCCTAAACGCTAAACCCTAACGTCCACTCATCCTCTAACTGCGATCTGGGCAGTCAGGCGCCCTTAGACCTTTAAGAGTCAGCGTTTAGGATCAACGCTTGAGGTTTGAGGGATAAGAGTTAGGGTTTAGGGGCTAGGGTTTAGGGTATAGGGGTTTAGGATCGAGGCTTGGGATTCACAGGCGAGTGGGACCCAAAGCTTTCTGTGCTCAACTGCAGAAACTTTGGAAGCGTTACTATGTAGGTTTGAGGGCTCCTATGAAAGCTCCCATAAAGGTCTTTCTTGCGTGTAGGATTCCCATTCCGGTTCCGATATCGGTTCCTTTAACGGGAGCCCTTGAAGGAGCCCTCAAACCCCAAACCCTGAACTCCCCATAGGTTCCTTAAAGGAACGCTTGAACCCTAAACTCCTACCGACTCCCATCAAGTCCCTAGAAGAAGTCCTGCAAACGCTGTGCGAGCTTGAGCTTCTTCTCCCCAGTGGACGCATCGATGCGCTCTTTGAGGAAGCTTTCCACCTTCGCTAAATGGGTGCAGGGTTTAAGACTTTAAGGTTGTTTTTGAGCTCCCTTTTCCAGTCGCCTGAACGGATCCCGGGAGGCCAAAAAGGCCAGGAAACGGTATAGGGTGAAAGGTTTAGGGTTTAGGTTTTAGGGGCTTAGTGCTATTCAAGCCCCTACACCCCTAAACCCTAAAACCCCTTAACTCCCGGCCCCTAAAGACCATGACATAATGGGGCCTTTATCATTAGAATAGGGTTAAGGGTTCATGGTTCAGAGTCTAGGCTTGTTGAAGTGGTTTGCCAGCGGCATGCCAGAGATCCGGGTTGGGAGAGCTTTGGGTTTTGGGGCTTTGGGGTTTTTAGGGCTCAAGGTATTGGGTTTAGGGTATAGGGCTTTAGGGTTTAGGGTTTTGGGGTGCATTTTACAAGTGTTGTAAGGTGGAACTCCTAAGGAACACTATTAGTCTTCGTAATTCTTCAGGCTCCTACAGTAGCCCGTCATGCTCTTGGGCGTTCGGTTTAGGCCCTGCTTCGAACCCAAAGGTCTAAACCCCCTAGAACCCTAACACCCTAAGCCCTAAACCCTGAACACCCTAAACAAAAACCTAACATCCTAATCCCTAAGCCCTAAGCCCTAAACCCGAACCCCCCCCAAAAAAAAAAAAAAATATATATATATATATATATATATATATAATAATAATACAAATACTAATACTAATACTAATAATAGTAAAAATAATAATAATACACCCAAAAAAACAAAAAAAAACTAAAAAAAACTAAGCAACACAACAACAGAAAGACTGAAACCACTGGGCCGAGCCACGTTCTTCGAGGTGATGGCCCGGAACTTCTCCTCAGGTCGTCGCATTTCAGGTTTAGGGTTTGGGGTTTAGGGCTTTGGGCTTGGGGTTTGGGGCTTGGGGGTTTGGGGTGCAGGGTTTAGGGGTTTAGCACTCTGAACATCCACCGGAACACCCAACCCTTCGGGTGGGGTTTCAGGTTCGGGTTCGGGTGACGCTCGTTCTGGCTTTTGTCGCCCCCTGCTGCTTGAAAAAGTCTGGTGACTTAGGCTTCCCTGGACTAGGGTTTCGAGTCGCAGTGTTCCACGATTTAGGGTTTGGGGGTTTAGGGTCGTTCCTTCTATTGCTGGTGATGTTCTAAATTTGCTTGCAGACCTTAGCATGTTCTGTTCATGGTATAGTATAAAAAAAACAAAACTCCGGTATACTATCTTTAGTAAACCATAACTCTAACCTTCCAGTCTTGCTTGCATACATGCTGTGACTGTTCCTATTGCTGCCCATGACCAGGGACTGACAACCCAGAAACCAGTAGCTCTGGGTCAGGCGGTTTAGGGCTTTAGGGTTTAGGGTTTAAGCTCGGGCTTAGGGTTTAGGGTTTAGGCTCTCGGCTAGGGTTGAGGGTTAAGGTTTAGGAATACACCTGAAAAAGGTTTAAAGTTCCCTCGCAGTCTCAGGAATAATCCTTAACCACGTGCTTTGGGGGACTTCTAAACCCCGACAAAGCCTATCACTAAAGCATCAACAACCATTCTTAGATCCCTGGAACTCCCTGTCAAAAGCATTCAACAGCCAAGGTGTGCTGGGCACTTTGGTAATGCACGGGCCTTATTATTAGAATACGGTTTTGCCGGATACTAAAATCAGAATAAGGCACCCCCAAAATGAGAGTGGTAATGATCAAGTGCCCTACCTTCTAGAGCCCTTCTAGAGCCCTTATGATATCCCTTATAGATCCCCTTTAAACGACCCTTTAAAGATTGAGGCTCCTACAGTAACTCGAAGGACACTGCCGCCGTGCGTCCATCGCAGGCGCGGCCACGGCCACATCCTCGAGCACTGCACCGGCAATAGACCTGTGCAAGGGTCAGGGGTTTGGGTTTAGGGGTTGAGGGTTTAGGGTTTACCGTTTGGGGTTTGGGATTGGGGATGTAGGGCGTCAGGGTGGGATTTAGAGCTTTTGGGTTTTGGGCATTTCTGCCTTGAGGCTTGGGGTTCCTGATGTTCTGAAACTCGCCTTGCGAAATGCAGGAGTGCAGCCTTAAACTCAGGGAATGCTCAATTGCGCCTGAACCCTAAACCCGAAAAACCGTACACTGAAGTTCGCTTCAAAGAGTCTTTTGGGGTCCTCGCGACCCCTAAACCCAAACCCCTAACCTCTAAACCCTAAACCCATAAACCCTCAACCCCTAAACCCTAAACTCTAAACCCTAAACCCTAAACCCCTGAACCCCTAACCAAAGTGAGGGGTCGCTTCCGTCGAGCGACAGTTCCCGAACGCTTGGCCGAGGGCCTGACAGCCCAAGCGCCCATGCGAAAAGAGAGACGGAAAGGTGAGGGTAAAGCCTCACTGTCTGTCCTGGACAGGCCAACGAAACTGCACTTTCTTACGACAACGTCCGTATTCCATAAAGGGATGGCCGTATCCAGACCTCCTTTAGCATAGCTCAAGATCTACCCCAAACCCGGAACCATTTGCTCTGGTGGTGGTTTTTCCGGGACACTTGTACCGGCTTTCCCGGACAAGTGTCTCGGGCTCCCCCCGGGACGCCCCAGGACCGGAGTCCCAGGCCCTCCCCGGGACGCCCCGGGACCCCCCCGGGACACTGTCCCGGGGCCGCCCCGGGACGCCAATTTAGGATATTGGAGTGACTGCACGTTTTCGTTTTCTTGCTTTTGTTGGGTTTTGCTTCATTTTTCAAAAACTCACGCGGGCACCGACAGCCGCAGCGGGCTTCCAACACCAGCTCCGCTCGCTTTTTTTGTGCGCTCCGGGTGGCCGCCTTTCGCGGTCATTAGTGACTGCTATATAAAAAACAATTTTGGATTCTGGCCCCTGGGCCCTCCCAGCGGAAATGGCGTCACTTTTCACCCCTGCGCCCGTTTTTTGGCTATCTACTTTTGGCTCGTCCTTGCTATTTTTTGCTTTCCCTTTACGGTTGGGACGCAGTCTCCCTACAAAACCTTCTGCGGTTAGTCACCTACATGTTTCTGCGTAAATCGGTTTGGGTTTTTGCCTTAGGACTTTAGTGCCTGCCGCACAAGGTTTTGGACGAACAAAAAATTCACTTATTTTCTTCGCCTCTGGGCTGCACCTATCCATACCCTGACATGTCTCGAGGTCACTTGCGCGTGGTCATACGTGTGTGCACTTCCTGACACTGTGCTGGGCTGAACTGAGGTGCGCTTCCGTCCAAGGCAAAGACACGGCGCTGAACGGAGGTGCGCTTCCGTCCAAGGCAACGAAACATGGCCTGTGCCACTGCTTGCTTCTGAGCGGTGTGCCATGGCCTTTCTTGCACGCTTCCACGCCAAGACCCGTGGATGCTGCCCTTTTCGGCTCAGTGCTTCCTTTCTTTGTTCCTGCGCCGCTACGCGTCCGCACACTCTTGGAGTGACATTCATGGCTGGAGGTCCGCGTAAAACTAAGACCGCCAAGAAACCCAGTATGTCCGGCGGCAAGGGGGGGAGCAAGAGCGGGGCCAACATCCCCAAGTACATGTACTTCCCGAAACACGCCCTGGCTCCGTATCCAAATGAGTGCGGCAATCCCTCGCTCCTCTGCCAGAGCAGCCATGCCGAAGTCGACTTCCTGCAGACCCAACAATATCGGCACGCTGCTGCCCACTGCAGACATCCAGACTTGACCTACAGCGGCGATGTTGACATCACGTTCCCTCGCCCGCCGGGCCTCGTCCAGAATGGGGCGCTTCGCTAGCTGCTCCATGTCCTTGCGAAGAGCCTCGCGGGCCTGCGCGACGGAGAACTTCCGTCAAAGGCACCATGTTGGCGCTTCGAACCTTTACATACGTGCTGCTGCACGTGGCCTCTGCCTTCTCCTTCGCCGCGCGCGCCTTCTTATTTTGTTTGTCTCGCCAGTCCGCTTTGCGGGCTTTATCCTTGGAGCGGATGTCCTCCAGCTTGGCCTTCGCCTTAGCTTTGGCCTCCGCACCAGTCGGACTCAAGCTCGGATGTCTGCGGCTCGCACTGCCCGCCTCTGCCGAGCCCTCCGACACTGCTCCCTTGAGCGTTGTCCGGGCCGACTTCTTGTTCGCGTTCTCGTTTCTTTTCTTGGAGCGTCGGGCCTGGCTGTGCCCACCCCAACGCACACATGCAAAGCGTCCACGAGCGCACGCACGCTGCACTTGAATTTTGTTGCTGCCTCGAGGGCCTTTTTGGCTTTGGCCGCTTCCTCCTCTCTCCGCTGCTTCTCTTTCCTTGCGGTGGCCTTTGCCCGGGCCTCGCGCGCCTTTGCCTCCTTTCGCTCCGCTTTGCTCTGAGGCAAGGCTGCACCTTTGCCGGAGTTGACGCCGGCCTGCCAGCCGCGGGCACGATAACGTGACTGCAGATTGTTTCTCGGACAAAGGCTAAACTCTCAAGATTTCTTGTGGTGGCCTTGCGCAACTCTGCATGGAAGCTCAGCCACCCGTCGATGAGGCTGCGGAAGGCATGGAGGGCTTCGCCTGCATGTGCCATGTGCAGCATGAGATCGACGCGCATCTGCACCTGAGACCTAAGGGCTGCACGAGAAGGGAGTAGAGCTCTGCACAAGTGGTGTCCGTCAGTTCTGCCGGATCGAGGCCCGGTGTGATCATGTCGAAGATGCCTCAGCGAATATATGCCTGTGCCTTTTCTGTCGTCGCGCCATGTAGGCTGCCCGCGTTTCAGCTCCTTTCGAATCTCCCTCCAAGAGATGCCTCACAAGGCACGACTCGGTCCGTGTGTCGTGGACGGCACTGCCGGGCAAGCCTCGAAAAGGTGCGGGCGCCGCGGGCGCGGGCGCCTCCTTTGTCTTTCTACCTTTGCAAACATCACTTGCACTGGCTATCCAACGAACAACAGCGGCCCTGCACTTTTCTGCCCGAGCCCTGGAGGGTGCCCATCGCGCCCTGATCACGTCCATCGCTTCTTTGCATGCACGAGACTCAGGACGAGGATTTGCGCAGTGTCTTTTAGACTTCAACAGCGCCGGCGCACTTGGTTGCCAAGGCACTTGCCTCCCGTGAGCGCGCGCAGAGAGCGTTTTGCGGAGATCCGTGCGTCCTGTCATAAAAAAAATCTGCTGACAACGGCCGCGACCCGAGTCCTCCCGTCAAGCTCCTGCGCCTCCGCTCTTTCTTCCCGCGCCTCCTCTTCCTGGAAGCACGCCGCGATAGCGGCTTCACTTGCCGGCGCCGTGCCCTCCCAGTCCGTAAACAAGTCTTTGTGCCTCACATGTGGGACGGTCTCCTTCGCCGTCGCCTTCAGGCCGAGGCCATGTGCTTCCATGGTTGCGTACTGTCACTTGCCAAGCCTCCTTCTTCGCAGGCCTTGGCCGCGCACGCCTCCGCACTCACATTGGCACCTGACGGTGTCGTGCATTGTTGAGAACATATTTTCCCTGCGCCCCTGCCTGCTTCGCCCTCGCGTGCTTCCTCCTGCGGGGAATCGAGATCACAAACCGCCGGCCGACATTGCCCCGACCTCCTGCGAAGGCGGGGCCTCGTCCTCCGCTGCCTCAAGCTATTGGACTTGCTCCCCCTTCTAGGCCTGTGCTGGGCCTACGACTGTGTCTGCAACTACTTCAGTACCTCCGCAGGAGCCTCCTTTCCCTTGTCGCCGCCGTGTCCGCTGCGGACACCTTCTGCTCTGCCATGTCTGCATAAGTATTTATTCCTGTTGCTTTGGAAGATTGCCAAAGACAAGTAAGTCTAGAGACCTTGCACGTATGCCTTCCAGTGCGACCACCAGGCCTCGTATCAGCATAGCTCAGTGTCCAGAGAAAGAGCTTCAAGGATCCGAGCATCCGACACAGCAGTAGAGCCCCCTGCGGCTTCATGCTCGCACCGAGGCGTGGGGTCGGGCTGGGTGTGTGCGAGAGCTTGAGTCAGCTTGAGTGTTTGCGGCTGCGCCCGTCGCGCTGACTTCGTGCACTTGTAACTTCTAGCGGCCAGCCGGCCGTCGGGATTGTTTCACACCCCCTTCACAATTGAAGAAGAAATCTGAAGGGTCTGGTCCAAAACGAAAAGAGACGAATTTGGATGCACCCGAAGAAGAGGAAGGAAAGGGTCTGGATACCCCACGCACACTCAAAGACAAGAAGATGCCGAGAGTGGGTCGTCAGAGAGATCCCGTGGTTCGGAAAGCTCTTCTGGACTACATCGTCGGTACAGACACGAAGGTTGCCACACCAAAAGTGCGTTTCCTTGCTCTGTCGCTACTACTACGACTACAGCAACCACAACTACGACGACGACGAAGAACTCCTGCTAAGCATAGCACTACGTTGCGAGCCCCTCGCCGTTACCTTGCTCGACAGCAATGCCCCGGGACTTGGGACCCCGAGAGTAGGTTTACCTCGCAATAGAATCAGAACATGTGCACCAGTTGCCTCCCAGGATTGCATCATTGGCTCGATCCACGATTCGCTCAATTTCTTGATTCTTGGACTTCGGGGCCTCCCTGTGCTCTCTTCAAGATGGTTTCGCTGTTCCGGGGCTTTTCGGAGCTTCTCCGAGGACTCTGCAGCTTTATCTCTGGATAAATCGACGCCTGTACGAGCCCCGGGCCCCTGTCCGTCAACACAACCTTCATATATAACCTTGACCAAAGCATCGGCATGCAAGGAAAAACAATTGCATAAACCCTAAACCCTAATAGAGTATAGTTTGGGTGGCCGGGGTGGGTTGACAAGCGACGCGAGCGCGCGGCCCGGGGTGCTTCACACCCGAGCGCGCGCCCTCCTGGGCACACCCTAAACCCCTAAACCCTAAACCCTAAACCCTAAACCCCTAAACCCTAACCCCTAAACCCCTAAACCCCTAAACCCTAAACCCCTAAACCCCAAAACCCGAAGCCCGCTTTGAAGGGTCCTCTTGCCGAGGGCTCTTGAGAAAGGCTTAGGGCAACCAGGGCACTGGGCTTTTGTGGTTTAGGGGTTTAGGGGTTTAGGGGTTTAGGGGTTTAGGGTTTAGGGTTTAGGGTTTAAGGTTTAGGGTTTAGGGGCTTGGGGTTCAGGGTTAGGGGTTTCGGGTTTAGGGTTTAGAGTTTAGAATTTTGTGGTTTAGGGTTTAGGGGCGTCGGGTGTGGGTAGTTGTCAAAATTAAGGTACCTTTGTGGGTACCCTAAATATTAGGTGCCGTATTCTATTAGGGACCCAAAAAGGGACCATAATTTTGACAACCACCCGCGTAGTGTTTAAGGGTTTGGGGTTTGGGGTTTAGGGTTTACGGCTTCGGGTGTAGAGTTTACTGCTTCTGGTTTTCGGTTGAGGTTAAGATTTGGAGCATAGGGCATCGGGTTTAGGTCTCAAGACTCACAACCTGTAGGAATGAGGATTCAAGTGCGCTGCTTGCCACCTAGCCACGCGGCAGCCACCTCCCTGATATGCGCTTTGCTGGATTTCGGTGACGTGTGGTGATCCCCTGCCGGAATCGGTGTGTTCAAGACGTGCGGTTCAGAATTGTAGTTTTACAGTACAGTGCAGTATTTTGAACTTGGTATTATGACCTAAATCCTAGGCCCTAGACCCTGAACCCATAAACCCCAAACCCAGAAACCCTACTTATTGTAACGATCCTGAAACCCAAGACCTTCAAACCACGCCAAAATTGAGATTTCCTAGGATACCCAGTAACCGAAGAATAAAAAGGCCTCTCTTTTTGGTATTGGGTAACTTTATAAGGAACCTAGGACTACAAAAAGGGAATAAGGGTACTGCTGGGCATCCTAGTTTCGGGGCGGCCCTGTGGCTTACAGGGGAAAGTTCGGATCAAATCGCCGCACCCGCTCGGGAAAGCCCTCCGAACCAAGAAAAAAGGCCCTCAACGAGAAACCCTCAGCCCTCAACACCCCCCAACCCTAAATCCTAGGTTCTTCAATAACCCCTTTACAATAAGGGTACCCTTTTCCCTACCATTCGGTCTGAATAAGGGGACCCTGAAACAAAAAAAGGCAAGAGAGTACTACCCAGGACCTAGAACCCTGTCCCTAATGTAACTCCAAGCCTTCCCCCAGGTCCCCCAAGCCCCTTAGCACCAGAAGCCTGGCAATCTCAAGCCGAATCATGAAAGTCAGCTTAGGGTTTAGGGTATAAGACCTTCCCCGGTAGCCTACTGCGTCAAACCCTATTCTCATTACACCAAGGCCCCCTTTTTTTGCCATGAATCCCAGACTTTCAAGGCGCTGAAACCCCTGAAGCCCCTAAAACCAATTCTCAAGAAACGATAAACTGCGGAAGAATGACCGCCTAAAACTCCCACCCCTACTGCATCTCCCGAAAGGCCCTTCAAACAAGCATAGAAAAAACGGATGCCTATGATCTCCGACAACAAGCTGACATTTTGTGAGAACCCAAACATAGCTGGGTGGTCCTCCATGGAAGCCCCGTCCCACCTTGCACGGCTCTTGTCCCTAAGCCCCGACCCTGAAACCCAACAACGTTACGCGCTAGTTTAGGGGTGCCTTAATATTTAGACGAGGGTTTGATGAAGAACATATGCAAAGAATCAATCTACTAAGGAAACCCAAGGAAAAAACGTTGGCAATCGTTAGCACTTTGAGTAATAGCAGTGTAATCTAGTCGTTAAGTAATCGGATCACTATACTATGGCATAGCAACATAGTAATACAGAAAAGCCGTAATATAGTAGCATTTGAAACCCTAGCCCTAAACCCAAAGCCGCAAAGTGCCAGAGCTTGCATGCCCCTGTGAAGTCTCTAGAACGCGCACCCTGAACCCTCACCCCTACAAACTACATCAACCGGCAGATCCGGAGCCATACACACCAAAGCCTCCACCCACAAACTGACCTTTGGTTAGTAGGGAATGGAAGAATGGGGCACAATTATAACTACTACTATTACTACCATTCTTCCATTCCCTACCAACCAAAGGTAAGCATGCAAAAATCAACCGACTTGGGGTCGAAAGCTCGGAAACTTAATTACGTCCTGATAAGACAAAAACCCACAAGAAAACCTGCAGAGCCGTCAAAAAGAAGTCCATAGCACCCTTCTTGGAGGGTCGGGGGACTTAGTAAGCAGGTAGTAAGTAGACTTATAAGTACCCTAAAGGGGACCCTAATTGGGGTTGTGGTACTTATAAGTCCCTAAAACAACCAGTTGCTAAGTCCCCCGACCCTCCAAGTTGATGGGGACCATGCAACAGGATGCTACAGACCTGGCTCCAATGAACCCGCAAAGAACCCTTGTAAAACCCATGTCCTACTTGTCGGGTAACATGGGGAACTAAAGGTTAACCTTTTTGGTTATATAGGGATTATATAGGCTAAATGCTCAAAACTTGATGCCTTCAAAACCCAACAGAACCTTTAAAAGGAAGCCTGTTGAGGACCCTTAGACAGAAACCCTGGAAACGAACCCTTAAGGTGAACTCCTTAGGAACCCTCTACTATACTTAAAGAAGCCCTGTAAACCCTAAACCTAAACCCCTAAACGAATCTGAATGAGAAACGTCGAATAAAATCCGTAAAGGAGCGCCCTAAACCAAAAAACCCTGAAAAAGGGAGCCCAAACGGGCAGGACAACCCTCAACCCTAAACCTTAAACCCTTAAGACCCTTAAACCCTTAACCCTTAAAACCCTAAACCCTTAAACCCTTAGCCCTCAAAACCTTAAACCCTCAGAACCTTAAACCCTCAGCCCTAAACCCCTAGAATCCAAAAAACGCCGGGACACCAGGGAGAAGGTCCCGCCAGCCCGGTCCGTCAAGGGCGCCGCCACGAGGGCAAGGAGCGCCAGCCGCCGAAGAACAGCCGACCTAGAGCTTCGGGTTTAGGGTTTAGGGTTTAGGGTTTGGGGTTTAGGGTTTAGGGTTTAGGGTTTAGGGTTTAGGGTTTAGGGTTTGGGGTTTGCTTTGGGTTCCTCAAGGGGATCAAAAAAAGGGTTCCGTTAAGGGGATCTATAGGGGTTCCTTTAAAGGGATCTATAACGGGGCTTCTTGGGATGTATTTGGTGTGTTTGGTTCGATTGGTCTCTTGGGGTTTTTTTGTTGTTTGACTCCCGCATGGCTCTGGATCTGTTGCTGTTTCGTTTGGGGGTTCCTTGAAGGGATCCATAAAGGGGCTCCTTTAAATTAAAGGGATCCATAGGGGCTCCTTCGATGGAATCTTTCGGGGTTCCTCTAAAGGGATCCCTAAGGGATCTATAGAGTTTAGGAGGTAGGGGTTTCGGGTTTCGGGGTTAGGGGGTTAGTCAGGGGTTGAGGCTTAGGGTTTAGGGTTTGGGGGTTTAGGGTGCTTCGGCTTATTTTGGTTTATATAGGGCTTCCCGTTACAATAGGGTTGTGCGTTTGGGGTTTAGGGTTGGTTTGTAGGATTTGGTACGTTTTCTTGCTGTGCTTAGGCTTGACGGCTACCCGTAAAGCACGCCAACCCTCTGGGCCCCTACAGTGCTCTACAAGCCTTAGGCCCCAAACTCAACTCTTGGTGAGTTCAGGGTTTCGGAGTTTAGCATTTGGGGGTTTGGGGGTTTAGGCGTTTTAGGGGTTTTAGTGTCCAAGGTATCCTACAACCCATAAGACCCCACCAGCCCTACAGAACTCTTCCAGACCCTGCGGAGCTCGCCTCTTCCCCGAGCACTTGCCGGGGGAAGCCATGGCGTCGAAACGGCGTTGCGCGGAGGTCCGAACTACGAGCCAAATGCTCTTTGTGCAACACAGACGGCTTGGGTTTAGCGGCTTTGGGTTGAGGGTTTAGGGTTTGAGGAGATAGGGTTGAGATTTAGTTCAGGTAAATTCAAGGATGTAGGGTTTGGGGTGCAGGGATTTCGGGACGAGCGCTTCTATGCAGGGGCGTGAGAGGGTGCCGTGTCATAGTGTGTATACAAAACGAATCTTCATACAGGGGTCTGAACCTGTAAGGTAAGGTTTTGCATGTTCTAGTGTAGATACTAGTCCCTACATTGGTTCTCCAAGCTAGGCACTCTCTTGTGAAGGATCGCCAACCAAGTAAAGACTTAAAGAGAGAGTAAACCACACTTCGCCGCCATAGGAACCGCAATCATCAAGATCACCGTCAGTAAGGTTTGGGATTAGGAGAACAGGATTGATGGCTTGAGGGTCAGGGTTCCACGCAGTCGACGTATACAGAGGTCACAGAGGTATTGTATACTAGCTATAGGTACTGCAACTCCCACATAGCCATCTGGGTGGTTGTCAAAACTAGGGTCCCTTTTTGGGTCCTTGTTATAATACGGCACCTAATATTTAGGGTACCCACAAAGGTACCTTAATTTTGACAACTACCCATCTACACCCCAACGCGGCCCTTCAAATTCGACCGGGTCCCAAGCGTCACTAATGATAGATCTAAAGCATAACCCAAGTGCTAGGCCTGACCGCCTCCGTGCAGTGCATAAACGAATCCGAACAGCCCCACACGTTATAGGATCCTTAAGGGAGGGTGGTTCAAGGGGGGAGGGTACTAGGGAGCTTTGGGGAACCTTAGGGAAGCTTAGGGAGTATTGGGGAATAATGGGGATTACTAGGTTACCTACCCCCCTTGGACCACCCCCACTTAAGGACATCCTAAACACGAGATGCGACTTTGAAAAAAAGCATGAAGGGCGTTGATTTGAAGCTTGTGTTTTGTTAGTGCGTCGCTATAGACGGCCTTGCTACGGATTCCTCAAACCCGTGACTCCATCCGTAACCTGAAACCCGCACCCCAAAGCCAAAACCCCTACGCACCGGGACTCTCAGAGAGGGCCTTATTCACTAGAAGAGGGTTTTGTGGTAGATCGCACTATTTATTACTATGGCTACAATGAGGATTCAGGCTGCTAATGGGTCCAGCCGCGCCCTAAGCCCTAAACCCTACCCCAAACCCTAACCCCCTGACCCAAACAAAACCCCCAACCACTAAACTCTGAACCCTATAAACCTCTAAACCTATAAACCCTTATGAAAACAACACCCAAACTACCTCGAAGAAGGAGGCCGAAATGGGCCACACGAAGAGGTCGGTGGGGTTGCCGTCCGAGACTGTCACAACCTTCCCGGAGTTCAGTGTTTAGGGTTCGGGTTGTGGGTTTTGAGGATTCCAAAATGTTTGACAGATCCGGAGGGCTCTATGATTTGTAAGGCTTGTTCAGAAGGGTCACTTAGGGTTTAGGGTTTATAATGTTTAAGGCACGATTTAAGGCTTAGTCAGTTTAGGAGCACCTCCCATGCTTCAAAGAATCCTCTATGTTTTGTTATCTAGGATAGAACTGAGCTGCAGTACTGTACAGAATATATTTGGGAGTTTCTGAAAATTCGGGGGATCCTAATATAGTACGCTAAATAGCAGGATCCCTGTTACAAGGACACCTAAATAAGGTACCCCTAATTTTCGGAAACTCCCATTTCTGTGGTAACTGCCCCGAACCCCACGGCGGGGGCTAGGATCCGGACGCAGCACCCTCACAGCGAGTCTACGGCCAATGAACAACAGCCTGCTCTAGCCATACCGAGGAATGTAGTACAGTTCCTTGAGGGTTCCTATTTGGGGTTAGGCTTATAAGCCCATTTATAACTAATTACCCATGAACCTCCAAGTAGCCATACCAAGGAATGTAGTAAAGGGGCCTGAACAACCAGAAAAACTCTGCAAAATCATGGACCAATCCATCCCACGCCTAAAGCAGCACAGTTCCTATCAACTGAAGGTCTCGCTGCGCTTGGTCTTCATATTACCTTATTTGGGGGTCCTTACAATAAGGATCCTACTATTTAGGGTACAATATTAGGGTCCCCTATTTTGGGAAATCCCCATATGGGCTCCTCAGTGAGAAACGCGAGCCATCCACACCAAAACAAAAATCGTACTCGTGGAGTGGCTTTGATTTCGTGTTGGTTTAAGGAATTAGGGTTTGATGGTTGAGGGAAGCAGGCCTGCATACGACTTCTCATCTGGTCGTACTCAATGACCCAGTCTGGCAAATCGCCCAGTGGTCGCCACATGTGCACGAGATACCTGGGAGTCAGGTAGATCCTAAAACCCTAAACCCTAAACCCTAAACCCTAAACCCTAAACCCTAAACCCTAAACCCTAAACCCTAAACCCTAAACCCTAAACCCACGGCACTTAACATGAAACCCCTAGACCCGCATACTAAAACCTATATCCTCGATTTCCATCGTATCGAGACGACTAAACCCTGAACCCTAAACCATAAAGCCCGGGCGCCTAAGAGTACCTGCTTGCATCATACACCCTGAATCATCACGGCTAAGCGTGAGGGTTCATCAAGGGACTCTTGATGTCTTTAAGGAGTCAGGCCTTGCGTGGGGGTTTTGGGCTAAAACATATGGGGATTTCCGAAAATAGGGGACCCGAATATAATACCCTAAATGGTAGGATCCCTATTATAAGGATCCCTAAATAAGGTGCCCCTAATTTGCGGCAACACCCATATACACGGTAGGGTGTCTGCTTAAGGTGCCCTGAACCGTGTGTGTCAGGATTGCACTTCTCTGGGAACGAGAAGATGTTAACAAACGTTTCAGGGTCTAGGGTTCGGGCTTAGGGCTTTAGCGCTTCCGGGTTTAGGATTCAACCAGGGTTTGCGCGTTTAGGGTTTCTTTTAGGGTTTCATTTTTCCAAAGACAACTGAGGACTGAACACCAACGGTTACCGGCGCCTGCCCTCTTTAGGGCAACATCTTCTGAACACCCCCGGGCGGTGAACAGGTCTTCTTTTAGGGTTTCTGAAGCCATCCCACCTTCCCAGAGCCTCCAAAACCCCTTAATTAAGGAATATACCTTAAATCATATTAGGGATCCTATTATAATTTAAGGTAGATTCCTTAATTAAGGGGTTTTGGAGGCTCTGGGTTCACACTCTATGATACATACTCGAAGGTGCATTCCACGAAGGAAGCTGGATCTCTGGGTCCGCCTTAACCCCGTGTCTTTGCAGAAGCCCTAAACCCGAACCCTAAACCCTAACCCTAAAACCCGACATGTAGCCTTTAAAGAGCCTTGAAAGAACCTGAAGCCAATCATGTTAGAGGGTTTTGAGCTGTAGGGCTGTAGGGTGCTGTGTGCCTTTTCGGCTCTAGGCGCCATCGCTAGGCGGCCTTACGGTATGCAACAAAACCTATCTTTAGGGGAGACACCTCAAGAAGACAAACTCAGAAAGCTCAGAAGTGATGTTCGTCATCCAGTGAACACGCGGAGAGCGGTTTTTGTGTGGGTGTTCGGGTTCATCTGCTTCAAGCCCGATAGACGTCTCTTCACTGCTCAGGAAACCCTTTAAGTATTCCCCCCTTGGCCACACAAGCATCTGGCCGTTCTCTGCAACAACATGTCTGCCCGCGCAAATCCTGTTGGTAAACCTCCGGATCCCCAAACCCTAAACCCTAAACCCTAAACCCCAAACCCTAAACCCTAAACCCCAAACCCCAAACCCTAAACCCTAAACCCTAAACCCTAAACCCCAAACCCCAAACCCTAAACCCTAAACCCCAAACCCCAAACCCCAAACCCTAAACCCTAAGCAATAGCTTGAACAATTGCGAATGGAGGAGGAACGACTGCCTCGAAGTTGACAAAAGTAGGGGTGATCAAATGGGCTGACATCAATACCATCACTGACATCCCTGTAGAGAAGATTAACAGACAATGCCTGTAAGACAGCTGATACTTGGAGGTTCAAGGGTAGTTATAAGTGGGCTTACAAGTCCCCTAATATGGGTTATATGTATAGTTATCCTACTTAGAACCCTACTTATAAGTACCCATGAACCTCCAAGTATCTCCTTCGACAAAACAGTAGCCACGTCAATGGCAACAAGGCTCTCCAACCTGACGTCCGAAGAAACCGAAAAAAAAACGGAACCCCGTAAAACGGTAATATAGGGGCCTGAATAATTAGAGTAGGGTTTTGGGGCCCATTATACTATAACTATAGAAGGTGCCCCCAAAATAGTATAGGTAATTACTAAACCCTATATTAAACCTGAACCCCAACCTGCAAACTTAAACCCTGAAAAGCCAGGGAACGTGCACAGAACCCTACCCCTAAAGCCTACATCCCAATCAATCCCTAATTCCCTGAAAAAAGCCTCAGAAAACCCTGTAGAAGCCTCAGAAGAACCCTTCAAAATCAGTATGAAACATTAGAACAACACCCCCCAAAAAAGGACCCTAAAGCCTAAACCCTAAACTCTATAAAAATTAAAAAAAAAAAACTCATCCCAACTGGTCCTCTCCAGGCGAGGGGCTCCGTCACACTCTCGTCCGTGCTCGCAAGGTCTTGGGATGGCGCGCTGGGCTTAAGGTTTAGGGTTTAGGGTTCAGGGTTCAGGGTTTAGGGTTTAGGGTTTAGGGTTTAGGGTTCAGGGTTTAGGGTTTAGGGTTCAGGGTTTAGGGTTTAGGGTTTAGGGTTTAGGGACTCTTAGTTGCTGAGTTCATAAGCCCCAAACAGTGTACATTTTCAGTTTTATAGTGGGTGATATTATCCCAAAATGTGTGAAGTGTATCCACTCCACTGCTAAGGATCCTTTCAAAGACCCATAGGGGTTCCATAAGCGATCTGTGAAAGCAAGCTAAGGGCATATAATTTAGAGTTTTGCATTTACGGCTCAAGGTTTGGCGTTGAGGGTTTAGGTTTC